TTTTGTATAGCTAATATTTTATAAATTTAATTACAATGTATTTTGGTGTTTTCCTGCTTTTGTTGATTTTGATGGAGTTCTCTGTGCTTCCTGGATTTGGATGTTTGGTTTCCTCCTTCAGATTCAGAAAGTTTTCTTCTATTATTTGCTCAAATAAAATTTCTGCCCTCTTTTCTCACTCTTCTTCTTCTGGGACTCCTATGATACAAATGTTATTATGTCTGATGTTGTCACTGAGTTCACTAAGTCTATTCTTGTGTTACATAATTCTTTCTTTTGTTCAGCTTCATTATTAGCTTCTATATGTATTCATTTCTCTGCATTTTCCATTCTTGTGTTCATTACTCTTAGTCTGTTTTGAATCTGTTATTGTGCTTTCAATTTCTGACAGATTTGTAACTTTTATATCTCTGCTTTAACAGCCTCCCTGAAACCTTCCATTCTTTTATCAAGTCCAGAATTATCCTTATGACTGATGCTTTAAATTTTCCATTAGGCATATTATTTACATCTGTCTCAATTAGATTTCTGGCCGTGACCTTATCTTTTTGTTTCATTTGGGATGAATTACCCCATCTTGGCATTTTGTCTAAGTTGCTGTCTTCTTCTCTGTGTTAGATAAGCCTGCTATGTTTTCTATTACTTAGAGTAATGGCTTTATGAAGAAGAGGCCATATACTGTCCAGATCCTGGAACTTTAGGGAGTGTCCTTGGTGTGTGCTGCGTGCACACTGCTGCTGTGTTTTGGCTGCTCTATCCTTCAGGCCAATCCTCCGCAGAAGCTCTCCTTCCCTGAATTGGGCAGGGTTTGGACCTTGGCCAGAGTGTGCTGAGTTTTAACTAGGTGTGTACTGGTCTGCTTGTTAAATGATAACTGATGCTACTTCCACTAGAACTGAAATGTTGTAGAACCCTCTGGTCCAGAGACATTGTGTGCATGGTGTTTTCTGCTGGTCTTCTGGGGAAAGGTCCCAGATTGAGGCAAACTTGACTGAGAAAGGCAGTTCTGGCAGAGATCAGGTTGTGGGACTTGGTGTAAGTAGGTTAGGCAGGCACTGTCAGCACTGTGCTGTTTACTGAAGGTGATTCTGAGCTTAAACTGAAGGTGGGGAGCCAAATGGTGCTGGCCATCTCCTTTGTCCATGAAGAGTGGTCTTCAGGCTTGATATTCTCAGGGAAGTACTCCCAGAATAGTGAATAATCTCCCCCCTGTGCATCTCAGGTATTTTTCAGATGGCCATTTTCATGCTATCCGTGTCTGAGTTGTTTTTCTTCCTTCTCTACAGTAGTAGCTCAGTGCCCTCCAGGCTCTATTCCAACCAAACCTGCTGACCTTTAAAATGCCAAACTTTAGGAATGTGTTGTAGGCCAGGGCCCTTGCTGGTTTTAGGAGGGTCTTACCATGCTGGTACTGGTGCAGTTTAATCCAAGAAGGTCAGTTTCACCAGAGCACAGGGGCATGGAACTTGGAGCAAGCAGGCTAGGCAGCCAGTTTTGGGCTCTGCTCATATACTGAGGAGTGGAGGAAGTATATGGCACCTGCAAGCTCTTTTGTACCCAGAAAGGCATCTCTGTGAACACCACCTCTCACAGATGCACTCCAAGAAGAGTGAACAGTCTCCCCCCATGCATGACTTATGTGTCCAATGACCTTTAAAACTCCAGTCTTCAAGCACCGCTGGTTACAAGAACTCACAAAAACCAGCCCCTCTAATTTTCCCAACCAGTGGCCTTGGGAAATGTTCTCCTTGTGTGTTATCCTATGTGCTCCACTCTTGTGTTCCTTTCCCTAAAACCAGGGCTTGCTCCCCTCTGAAGCAACTGCAATCTGTTGCTCCCCAAAACTGTGTCTTCACACTTCCTACCTTCTTCAATGTGGCCTCTTTTCTTTCTCTATTTGTGTAGTTTGTTATGTCCATCCTCAGATTGATCACTTGTGTGTTCAGAATAATATGATAATTATCTAGCTTTTTTTTTTCAAGGGATGAGAGGAGCTTTTAGTCCTCCTTCTACCCTGCCATCTTAGCGCCCCTCCCTAGGTAGCCTTTTCTATACCTCTCCAGCACACTTTAAGAACTCTTATTAACACATAAAACATAGAATTATAATTACCAGTTTATTTGTCTGTCTATAATAATTGCCTGTTTTGTAAAGGTAGGAGCAAGTATTATTTCCTACTGCATCCATAACTTCTAAAATTGTTTCTGCACCAACAAGGCTGCCTGCAAGCATTTACTCAATGAATAAATGGATGGAAGACAATGTGGTCAAGATTATGATCACCCTACATTTTAATATTAGAAACCTAGTATATGAATGGGATTATAACTTATCCTGTAATAGGATGACAAGAACCTTATCTATGACTGAGATTAATGATCAATTTTTGGTATGGGACATGTCGCTCTCTAATCATGTTTAGAAGCTCACATTATAGCCAAGATTAACTTCAGATCTAGAGAGGGTGAGAAACTCAATATGCATCCAGGGTTAAGGCCAGTATACTGCTCCATGTGTGATCAATATTAGGCATTTCTTTGGTGAAACTAAGTACCCTATTCTGAAATTGAAAATGAGTGTTTCATAGAGACAAACTCAGGCTGTGACTTTATCCTGGTTAATATTATATTTTAAGTTCTCAAAGAGAAATTAAAAAAAAAGAAACAAGTCAGAGGGCTGAAGCAGAGGTGCTACACATCTTTTATCCCTTCAGCTAAGTGTTTCAACTCACCAGGATCAGCAGCCAGTGGCCAACCAGTGCTAGATTCTACCACTCCATGAGCATGCACAGAGTAGGGGCGGCTGGCATTATTCTTGAACACCACAGTTAGAATATCACCAACCTCTCCTCTGAGAAGTGGACCTAAAATATGCAAAAGAAGGAAAAGTCTCATTAGTGGAGTGTTGGAGCAAGGGTACTAAAGGAATTGAAGAAAGGACACACAGAGGAGCTCTCTAGAATTAAGGTTTTCAGTCATTAGACTGAAAATCATGACCAGTTCCATTTTTTTTAATCCAGAAGCCCTTTGATACTGCTACTTACAGGATGAGGATACTTCAACAAGAAAATTGTGGCCCCAATTATCCTTATTTTACCACCCCAAATGTATGTATGTAGGTATGTATGTATTTAATTTATCTATCTATCTATCTATCTATCTATCTATCTATTATCTATAATATCCCAAGGATCTAGGTAATCAGGGCTCTGTGGAATTATTGTCAGTAAGGAGTTTAGCACAGAGTAAAAAAATGTTGGGGTCTCTGTAAAGGCCAATGGGTTTCTTCTCTGTGAGGACAAGAATGAGGAAACTCATTGGCCCATAAAAAAGTGAATAAATTGTATGAATAATTAAACTGGGTTCAAGGGTAATACTGATTCCCTGTATAGTGCTTTTCCTATTCTTTCATGTTACTAAGTTCCCCTATCATTAGTATATTTAAAAAATCTATCACAATAAAACATCCCTAGAGAGATTCCTGGAAAAATATGGTTCATGTTACAACAAAATTAATAAATCCTCCCTTTGATTGCTTATTTTTATGGTTGATTTAAAAAAATATATGACTATTGTTCCATTATATAATAAGGAAAAACTAATTGAAAGAAAAAAAGGTCCTTATATGACATGGCATCCTTAGGATCAGCATAAACTTCTAACACAAGGAAGAACTCACCTAATATTCCCAAGTGTTCCTCTGGTCCAGTCCTTGGCCGAGGGATCTTGAATGTACCATCCGTGTATTCTCTGAATACAGCTTTCTTGTATCTGGAACCCAGGAGCCCATCCTGGTTGCTCAGGAAAATGTGACCATAACTAGTGGAATACAAAGAGTGGTATCATCACCTGGCCTTCGACTCCTTAATTTCACTTATGAGAAAGCTAAGTCAGACCCAACATCATATCACAAATAGAATCCTTCTAATGTCAGATTTCCCACCACATTGGTCATATAACTGCAGTAAAGATAGCAGATTTAAGTTTATATTAATGTTTCCTTGTTTACCATAATCCAGATAGGAATTTTTAGTACAATTAATATGGCCAGAACACTGGAATAAGAATCAGAAGCCCTGGGCTTAACTCCAGTCTTAGTGATTTCTCAGATGGAATCAGTTTGACAAAAGGACAAGGTACAAGGTGCAAGGAGAGTGCTAACTTTTGCTGCTGCTGCTGCTGCTGAGTAAGGAATGGGAAGAGGTAAGGGGGAAATGGAATTTTACAGATTCCTCCTTAAGGGATGCTTTCTGGTTTACAAATACCTTATTATTCATTTTATCATTTGACATTTACAATAAGATAACGAGATAGGTAGAAGTGTAATCAGTGGTCCAGAGGTGACAGAACTTATCTTCATTTATACTGTCAGCCAGAAGGTATCAAGGGATCATGAACTTGGATTCAAGTTTGCTGCTTCCTCCTTATCTCTTTCTAGTCAATTTCTTTTAACTGTATCACGTCACTTTAAAGGTGAGTAAATTAAGGCCCAGGGAAGAAAATACACTTTTTCTAGGTTTCAGAACAACTTAGCAAGGAAATGTCAAGAATCAACAACCAACATAAAAGGCAAGAATTGCTAAATTGTTGTGAGAGCACCAAAATTGTAGTGGAAATTGATAAACTGTATTTCAGTTTCTGTTCTCCTCTGCTTCCTTGTAATGATAGAATCACCTAGATTGAACTGAGCACATGACCACCTAACCATAGATTATATTTTCCAGGCTTTATTTATTTATTTTTACTATAGTTGACATACCATGTTACATTAGCTTCATGTGTACAACTTAGTGATTTGATAAATGTATATATTTGTGCTATGTTTACCACAAGTGTAGTTACTGTCTGTGCCAATACATCTTTATTACAAAATCATTGACCATATTTCACATGCTGTGCCTTATTCCATAACTTACTTATTCCTTAACTGGAAGCTTGTACATCACCCTCCCCTTCATTCATTTTGTCCAACCATCTACCACCTCCAAGTCCCAGACTTTCTTGCAGCTAGGTATGGCCACATTAATAAGTTCATGATAATGGATTATGAGAGAAAGTGATGTCTACAACTTTTAGGTCATTGTCTTATAGACAGTGATGCTTGCCTTGGACTGCTTTCTCCTTTTGTGATAGCTTGGAATCTCTACAACAAAAATAGGCATCTTAGCTACAGAGATGAAAGAATGTATTACGAGTGATTAGTTTAACTACTGGTTCTGGTCTGTTCATATTTATACTAGTATGTGAGCAGGAAATAAAACTATAACTCATGTAAGGCACTCTATGTTGAGCTTTTTCTGCTATACAGCTTAGCCTGTAGCTTAATGACATTTTGTCAAGTGATGGGTAAGCTTGGGGTGTTCAGTCTTTTGAGTGATACCTCTACAAAATTTAACTTCTGGTATAGGTGCTACTAGCTACCAGAAGAAAAGAGGCAAAGATTAAGAGCATGAAGGTGTGGATAAGATCTTTTACTTCAGGCCTACAGCATTGCAACATAGAAGAAGTGCTGAGTTCCAGCTTATCTGCATTCCACCACTGGTTCCAGATTTCCTGGTATCCTATTATGTGACCTTAGATAAGTCCTCTTCTCAGAATTTTAGTATCCTCCTTATTGGTAAAATGATGCAGAGTCTCTGAAAGTGTGATATCTTATTTTCTGAAGCCTTACCTGTCCTTCTCAGACTGGTTGTGCCATTCCAGTTCCCAGCTCCTGTCAGGGCAATAGTCCCACTCCACCTCTTCTGCCATGATGTAGTAGACTCTTGCAGCCTGGTATCGATGATGATAGTCAGGTTGGTGGCCAGGACACTGGGAGACATTATAGATTGCCTTCATCCCTGATTCTCTATGGCTGCCTGCCTGGCAGTAAATCTCAAATATCCCTAAAGAAAGAACAGAGAGCAAAACCTGAATCTGAATATCCCTGCATAGCGCCTGGGGGATTCCCTGCCTCTCTCTAGGCATACTGCACAGAGTGTGTAGTTTCAAATAAGGTTCTTCTATGCATTGGATAAAATATTATTATTATTTTTTAAAGTTTATTTATTTTTGATACAGAGAGGGGAGACAGAGAGAGAACAAGCAGGGGAGGGGCAGAGAGAGTGAGAGGGAGACACAGAATCCAAAACAGATTGCTGGCTCAGAGCCTGACATGGGGCTTGAACCCAAGAACCTGAGCCATCTAGGCACCCCACAGATTATTATAAGTGTATTGAAAGCAATGAGCATGGAGGTTAAGAAGCTCTGCTTGCAAAACTACCATTGTTTACGTTTAAAACTAAACTCTGCCTCCAGGATGGACAACTTTTCTCTGTTAACCCAGGGCTTTCCCAGTCTTAGCACTGAAAGTCCCATACTCTGTGAAAAATCCTCAGTTCTGACCAAAGTGGGATAGTTGGTCACCCTATCTGACATTTATTAGCTATATAACTTGAAGTAAGTTAAGCCTCTGTATGTTTCAGAGGTACAATGGGAGTCATTTTACTTATTTCACTGGACTGTTTTAGAATTAAACATAATAATGTTTACACATTGCTTAGCATAATGCATAGTAAATTTTAATAAGTAAAGTTATAAATACGTAAATAAAATTGTAATAATTATTATTCCAAACAATTCATTGACCAGTGTCTCTATTTTCTACCAAGTACCAAGGAAATAAAGGTGGGCTTAAAAAGAACCCCCCAAAACAAAAACAAACAAACAAACAAACAAACAAACAAACAAAAAACTTGGTTATAAGGATGCTTATATCAGAGGGCTTTGGATTGGCCTTACCTAGGTTTTTATAATAAAAGGTTTGGATACCAGGCTTAAATGTGAGAGTTGTGGAGCTGCCTGGAACTGATATCAAGCCCCAGTCTTTCTATGTCAAGAACATTAAGACTTATAGAATGTTAATCAGGAGAAGATGACTTTCTTAAAACATTTTTTTTTCATCATTCCTTCCCTTGCTGTCCATTACCTATCCCATCACTACAGATTCTTTTCTCCTGGTTTTCAAAGGCCTCTATGAGGTGGCTCCAGACTATGATCCAGTGCCAAATGCACCTAGTGATCCAACTAAAGCTGTCCCTGACATCCCTTATCACATATCTCATTTCTATCTTGGAATTTTCTCTCATGTTCTTCCCTAGAATGTACTCACCCACCCCTCCCCAAAATACCTAAGAGAGCTCACTCATTTTCCAAGACCCAACTCATGTTTCATTTCTTCTAGAAATCTCTCCATGACTATTCTGGCCCACAATGACTTCTACATTCTTGGCCTCTCTATTTTTAACTCATTTTACATCTAAACCACATGGTTAAGGACTAAGTGCTCCTCTCTTTACGAAAGAGTTTTTCACTCATTTATATACTTCTTGAAAGATTCTACTCTTTTCTTTCCACAACTACTCCCCAACTCTTCTCTGTCCCCTACTGTCCCACATCTATTCCATCAGTAAATCTTATCAGCTATTCCTCAAAAATTACCCTTTCATTTTCACCCTCACTCCCCTAGTCAAAACCACCATCATCTATCACATGGAAAACTTCAGTAGTATTCCAAATTTCTTCTCTGCTTCTTCCCCTTCCTTCTTCAACCATTCCTCACATAGGATTCAAGGCTCTCTTTAACGAATATTATTCAGAACACATTGCTCCAATGCTTTAAATGTTTCCTTTATACTAAGAATGCAATCCAATCTCCTAAGTATAGTCTATAAGACCCTACATAATATGAATCTTGCCAGCCTGATATAATGTCAGTCACTTTCCTAGCTTACTACAATCCAATGGTACTGACCTTTCTGACCCTTGAAAATCCATGCTTCTTCCCAGTTTAGGACATTTTCACTTGCTTATCCCTCTGTTTGAAATATTCTGCTCAGAAAACTTTATATAGCTCTTTTCTCCTCATTATTTAGGCGTTAGCTTAAATATCACATTCTCAAAGATGTCTTCCTGATCATCCTGTCTAAAGTAATAATGCTCCTATCATTTTATCACATCACTGTATTTTATTTCCTTCATGACATATATCTCAATCTAAATTTATTTTATTGTTTTATGTAGGTTTTGATGTGTTTATTGTGGATCTTTCCTGAGAATAAGAATCATTGTCTTTTCACCTTTATTCCCCAGTGTTAACGCATTGAAAATGTGTGATAAATACGTTTGAGTAAATAAATGTATATGCAAGTGAATGCATATATAAACATATATGCTGCCCAAAGTCATAGATCAGAAGTTGGTGTGGGGAAGAAAGTCTGATGATCACTGAAGGGAATGAAACAAATAGAAGACATTCTAGGAAGTCATGTGACTTTGGACTGGTACATCATCTAAATTTTTTTCATATGAACATTGTTACCCAAGCCACTTTTTCAGCACTCCTCTGTCCTTGGAATCTGAGCCTCCTCCTAACTCTTTGACCACTTATTTGCTGGTTCCTTACTTTGACTTCTCTTTTCCTTCTTGGGTCTTAAATGTTGATTTCTGCTTTAAGTTTTCTTTCCTATCACTTTACATGCTTATGGACATGAACTATGAGACCATTCAAATTTGCTCCCCAAACTTTACATTTGTACCCATAACTACCTATTGTGAAATCCACGCCACCTGTATTTCATGAGGAACTTAAAGCTCAACATGCCTTAAAATGAGTACTTTCTCTGCAAACCTTATTACTCTGCCCTTGTTTCTGTATTTGCTCATTTGGTTAATGGTGCCACAAAACATATAATACATAAGCTAGAAAACTTGGGTGTCTTTTATTCTTGCTCAGCCCCTCAGAAAAGTTCTGTATTTTCTCTGTCAAATGTCCCTTAACTGTAACCCTTCTTTCCATGTTGCTTACACCCATTGGTAGCCTCTCATCACCTCTTGCAATAGCCTCCTACTTTACATCACTTAAGCCTTACTTCTCAGTATTCCTTCACAGGGCTAATAGTAACATTTTGCATGGGATTATTCTTTATTGTTTAAGACTGTCCTACATATTGCATAAAGTTTTAGCATCTCTGACTCCCATTTTCTAAATAATAATATGACCCCCTCCATATCCCTTGTCATTGTGACAACTAAAAGTACCTCCAAACATTTCCAAACAGTTTTTAGCATACTGCCTTGAGTTGAACGTCACTGAATAAAACCAATTTATGTAACCTTTCTCAGGCAGATGCTTCTACCAAGTCACTATCATAAGCTTCCTGCTGCCTATAATAATGCTCCCTTCACCCCCCCCCCATCCCCTTTCTTTGCTGGGTGACAGTTTACTCATACTTAAATGCTCAGTTTGAAGGCCTGATTCTCTAGGAAAGCTTTACTCTACAAGTCAGACAGAATTTGTTATAGCTTGCTGTGTATTACCATAGCTCTTGGGACAATGGTGTCATCATTTCCATTTCACAATAACTATGAGCTGCCTAATTCATCTTTACATCCCTATATCTAGACCAGTAAGTGGAAGAAAACATATTAATCATGTTTTGTGAAAATTTAATTGTAAAATAAAAGGAAAATAAGATGTGAAGACTAAAAATGAAGGAAAAACAGAGAGGAAGACATAGAGAAATAAAAGATATATACAGATTGGAAGAAAAAGGATAAAGAAGAAAACAGGAAGAAGGGGAAAGAAAAGACATAAATAAAAGAGAAAGAAAGAAAAATGAATAAAAAGGGAAGGTAATGGGAAAGAAGGAAAGTCAAAAAAGGAGGGGAAAACAAAGGAAGAAAGAAAAGTTGAAAAAAGGTGAAAATAAAGGGAAGGGAAGTAAAAAAGAGAAAGAAAAAAGAAGAAAGAAGAGAGATAAAAAGAATGGAAGAGAAAAGAAAAGAAAAAGAAGAGACAGAAAGTAATATACATAAAAATAGATGGGAGTAGAAGAAGGAAAGAATGAACAAATGAAGAGAGATAAGAAATGAGAGATAAAAAGACATAAGAAAGGAAACAATAAAACTAAAAAGCAGACTACAGAATGGAAGAAGATATTTGTAAATGACGTCTGATAAAGGGTCAGTAGCCAATATCTTATAAATAACTTATCAAATTCAAAACCCCACAAAATAAACAATCCAGTTAAAAATGGGTAGAAGACATGAACATACATTTTTCCAAAGAAGACATCCAGATGGCTAACAGACACATGAAAAGATGCTCAACATCACTCATCATCACTCATCACCAGGGAAATGCAAATCAAAACCACGATGAGATAGCACCACACACCTGTCAGAATGGCTAAAATTAACAACACAGGAAACTACAGATATTGGTGAGGGTGTGGAGAAAGGGAAACCCTCTTGCACCATTGGTGGGAATGGACTGGCACAATCACTCTGGAAAACAATATGGAAGTTAGTCAAAAAGTTAAAAATAGAACTACCTTATGACACAGCAATTGCACTATTTGCCCAAAAGATACAAAAATACAGATTTGAAGGGTCACATGCACCCTGATGTTTACAGCAGCATTGTCAATAATAGCCAAATGATGGAGAGAGCTCAAATGTCCACCAACTGATGAATAAAGAAGATATATCCATATATAGTATTATAACATATATATGTAATACATATATAATATGTATTTTAATAAATAATATAATATATAATATTATATATTATATATAATATATACTGGAATATTACTCAAACAATAGTGATATCTTGCTATTTGCAACAATGTGTATGGAGCTAGAGTGTATCATGCTAAGCGAAATAAGTCAGCTAGAGAATATACATATATATTTATATCATCTTTATGCATTCATCAGTCGATGGACATTTGGGCTCTCTCCATAGTTTGGCTATTGTTAACAATGCAGCTCTAAACTTTGGAGTGCATGTGACCCTTCAGATCTGTACTTTTATATCCTTTGGGCAAATACCTAACAGTGCAATTCCTGGTCATAGGGTTGTTCTATTTTTAATGTTTTGAGTAACTTCCATACTATTCTCCAGAACGGCTGCACCAGTTTGCATTCCCACCAATGGTGCAAGAGGGTTCCGCTCTCTTCACATCCTCATCAATAGCTGTTGTTTCTTGAGTTGTTAATTTTAGCCATTCTGACAGATGTGAGGTGATATCTAATCATGGTTTTGATTTGCATTTCCCTGATGATGAGTGATGTTGAGCATCTTTTCATGTGTCTGTTAGCCATCTGGATGTCTTCTTTGGAAAAATGTATGTTCATGTCTTCTGCCCATTTCTTAGCTGGGACATTTTGTGTGTGTGTTTTGAGTTTAATATGTTCTTTATAGATTTTGGACACTAGCCCTTTATCATGTATGTCACCTGCAAATATCTTCTCCCATTCTGTAGGCTGCCTTTAAGATTCCTTCACTGTTCAGAAGCTTTTTATCTTGATTAGGTCCCAATGCTTCATGTTTGCTTTTGTTTACCTTGCCTTCAGTGACATTTCTAGTAAGAATTGCTTGGGCTAAGAAAAAAGGCCTGTGGTCAAAATCCTCTAGGAATTTTATGGTTAATGTTTCCTATATTAAACTGTAATTTTTTCAATATGATATTATCTGTTATTAACATGAAGCATGTGGTTGAATATTGTTTACTGTTAAATATTTTTATTTAAAGATAATAATTAGAATTTTTATTATTAAATATTTGAAGTAAAAAAAAGATAAGAAAAACAAAGAGGATGGGTGAGGAAGAGGAGAAATGAGAAACGGCAGGAAAAAGGGGCAGTGGAAAGAAAACAAGATTTTAAAGGAGGGAATAGAGGAATGATGAATAAGGAAAGCTCCAATGATGAAGGAAAGGAAAGACATCCTGAAGGACAGGGCAATAATAAATAATGAATTCTTCTCTTTGCTGCTGAGAAATCTAACATGAATTGGGTGGAAATAAGACATTACAAGCCCTAGATTTTTATCTTCCAGTTTCCCTGTCTATTAAAATTCCAGTGTCATTAGTTGTATTGGAAGAGATGAGGTATGCAAGATAATATTTTAAATACAATTGTTCATTTTTATTAAATGTAACCTTATTTAAATTTAAAGTAAATAAAAAAGGATTAAAAATCACCAATAAACCCACAGGAATCAAACACTCTTAACCTTTTGCTGCATTTTTTTTCTGGGGATTTGTTTTTCTAGTTTGTTAAACATAACCGTAAGCCTCCAGTACACAAAATGTTGAATATCCATGGTGGTGTTTTTAAGGCATATGCAAAGTTACTTAATTACATATGTATATTTACCAATCCCCATTGCTACTCTTTCCTCTAGAATTCCAAAGCCAAATTCTAGTGCTGGCTTTTCCATTAACTCAGTACTTTTGTCTTGTGTTTGGAGAGCTACTCCCAACGGTCTCTCTCAATCTTCATTGGATATCAAGCCCCCAGGGAAAGAATGAAGGAAACTTCAGATTCAAGAGATCATCTAGGAGTAAGAATTAATAGAACTTGATAGGGAAAGGGCAAGCAAGTAAGAAAAAAAAATAAAGCCAAGGTATTTAACCTGAGTAAATCATCACCCCCTCCATCCAGGTCTCTGTCTTTCCTCTCATTAGTAAAGTAACTAAATTGAGATTATCTCAAAAGTGTTCTACCACTTCCAACAATTTATTACTCATTAATTATTTATAAAGAAAAAAGAGTTTGAAAGATCTGGAAAATGCAAAGGTAAAAAGAGTCTGGGCTTTTGCTAATATTTAAGGGATATTGGACCAAGAGTAACCTTTCAAGTCTTTAATAAACCCATTCACTCCCTCTCCCCCCATATCACCAATTATAATGTTTTTATACCATCTACAACAACCCTCCTTGGGACTCCTTTTGTGTGGGTACAAAAATAATTTCATTTATCCAGAGTAAGAGTAAGCATAGGGACACATATAAACTTGGCTGAGGAGCCTGGCTAATTTTGCAGGAAGGAGAGTAAACATAGGGTTTGGTTTTGGGATCAAGGATAGAAAAGAGGGTCTTTTTTCTTCCCCTTCACCTTTTGCTTCTTTGACTTCTCTGCCTGCCTTCCTTATTTCTTCCTTCCTTCCTTCCTTCTTTCCTTCTTTCCTTCCTGGAAAGTCTTTTCATTTAGAAGTTTTCCACCCTAGGCCTTACTACAAGCATTTGTGTCTGTTGTTTTTTTTTCATCTCCATAAACCATTGTTTCTAATTTTCTAACACCATCTCTCCTTAACCAAGAAAGTATCCCCCAGGTAGATGGCCAGCAATGAAGTTCCAAGAAGTCTGTGGAGACCAGCTTTATGTCAAATGTTTTTCAAATGTAGTGCCAGAAGGAAATTATTAAATTGTCAAGGAGACTTGTTTGGTTTAGGATTTTTTTTTTCCAAACACTAATGGAATTTACAGAACTAAAATAAAAGTTTAGTGGAGACTGTATGGAATTCACAAATTTTTCTGAAAACGCTATTGCCACCTACTGCCTAAAAAAATAATACACACTACTAACTGCAAAGAAAAAGTACTATTGCATTATAAAATGTCAGACATAGATGGAATCTAAAGAAATACTCTTGAAAACTAAGAACAATCCGAGGGTTGATGGGGGGTGGTAAAGAGGGGAGTGTGGGTCATGGGTATTGAGGAGGGCACCTGTTGGGATGAGGACTGGGTGTTGTACGGAAACCAATTAGACAATAAATTCCATATTAAAAAAAAAGAAATATTCTAGCTAATTTTCTTTATGAAAGAAAGATATGGAAATGAGGGAAAGGGATAGACAAAGAGAGGGAAGGGGAGGGGCATGAACAATGGGAGAGAGAGGGAGGGAGAGAAAGGAAAGGAAAGAGGGAGGAAAAAGGGAAGATGGGAAAGGAAAGAGAGGGAGGAAGTGAGGGGGCTGGACAGAGAAAGAAAAGAATGATGAAATGCAGCCACAGGGTGGGGGTTGGTTAGACCACAATTAAATAGCAAATTAATTAAATACCTTGGGCTAAAAGGTTTTATGTTCTGATACCTGGGCTGAATTTGTTACAGCACACCCCACCCCACTCCCACCAGAAGTTTGCACAAATCCTCATAGAATATCAGAGTTAAAAGCACTTTATAGATAGGTACATCTTGTGGACCTCCCTCACAATGCAAGGATTTTAGCTATAAAATCTCTACATAGCTATGGGACTACACAGTTAAGTCCACCCTCTACCCATATAAGAATTGCCCTGTTGTTGGGCAGTATCCATATTTCTTTTCTGTTGTTCCAGAAGAGAACTTCCTTAGCTCTTTACTTTTTGCCTACAGCTAAGAAAAAATCCAAATAACCAGAACAGAGTGCACATTAAGGAGAGAGGAGATAAGAGTGTTTTGAAAACTTCCCATGAACCCTTAACTTGTCCTCTTTTCTCTTCACCTTCCCCCCTCACCCAGCACCATACCCAACAGAGCCTCTCAGCCTAGGGACAGCTGTTGAGTCACTTACCAGGGTTTTCAGGCTGCATGATGGCCATGACAAAGGTATGAGGAAAGAGCATGGCTGCACTCTTCCTCATGCCCTGAAGCTGCACAGTGTTGCCCTGGAACACGACCCCATGCACATCAGTCTCTGTGCCCAAGCCAAGCAGGTGCCAGGCCACTGTGTCACCCTTGCACATGTCCAGCCTGGGCAGGTTAGAGAACAGAAACCCATTAATGGCTGGAAAACAAAAACACAACACAAAACAGGAAGATGAGAACAGATCCTTCAAGCACTGGCCAGGAGCATAGCATCAGTTCTGTACTATGGTTTCCCACAATTTGAAATGTTGGATTCATCCTCAACTTCTCTGCCTTCTTCCCTAAGCCACTTTAGTTCTACTTATGAAGATCTGTCTCCTTGAGATAAGGGCCCAGCTGTCCTTTCTGAACTCACCCCCTGTAACTCTTATATCACACTTCACGTTCTTGCAAAACTGAAATTCTTTCCACTACCACAACTCTTTCACACACACACACACACACACACACACACACACACACACACACAGATACCAGCATCTATTATTCCCACTCTTTTGAAACTCTCCTCCGTTGGCTTCTGTGATGCCACACTTTCCTGGTTTTGTTACAACCTCTCTGATTGTTTCTCTTTCATCTTGTTCTTGTTCTTCATCCCTCCTGAAAGTATTGGGGTTTCCTCAAGTTTCCATATTCATCTTTCAATCTGTCTCTTTTTCTTTACTTCACTGCTACGGCCTAGTATCTTGCTCTCATAATTTCTGGCCTGAACTCCTGAAAAAGCCCTCTCCCTGGTACCCTTGCCTTCAGTCTATCCTCCTACCCTATCTCACACAGAGGAACACACTATTCCTGTGAGCTCTATTTGTCTCTGTATCCCTCTGTAGCCTTAAAGATGCTAGGTGTTTATAAACACATGTTGAGTTTTCACATGCTATTCCCTCTGCCTGGAATAACATTTTCCTCTAGTTTCTCTACAGCAAACTGCTACTCATCCATTATACCTCAGCTCAAATGTCAACTCCCCTGTGAAGCAGGGCTACTTCTCTCCCCCCCCACCATGTCTCTCTGTGTGTGCCTCTCTCTCTCTCTCCTTCTCTCTCATTTCCATGAAATTTCCCCCCTACAAAATTCTTCCATATCACTTATCACAGAGTCCAATGATTTACTTATAAATGTATCTCCCACACTAGATTGACCTAGAAGCAAGCACATTTTTCTATATTTGTGTGACTGCCCAAGCACCTGGCATATTGTCTGGTACTACTCACGTGCTTCATAAAGTCAAACTGAAATGAACTTGGTTCACAGGACTTGTTTACTTTTTCCAGCTGATATAACTGGTTATGAGAACCAAAGAGACAGTCAAAAGACAACACAGTCATTCATGACTCCCTCCCTTTCTTCACACTCCTTTTGAAAATACAAGGAGGTCTGCTTAAATCTGACCCCCTTTTAATGTCCTCACATCCACTGGAATCACCTTTAATGAGTAATCCTACTTGGTAATTCTTCAAAATGCTGATGAGAATGTTGCTAATCTCCTGATTCTGCTTCCATTGCCTGTAATGTATAATTGCAAACCTATTTAGCTTCCAAAACCAGCTCCAGCACTCCCTTCTCCCAGGAATCCCTCAATTGGATTGTTCCTCATTAACGTTCTCCTATGAACTCCATGTCACTTGAGAGCTGTTTCACATAATTTAGCACTTCATTATAATTGACCTTGTATTGTTCTATAATTATTTCATGTGTGTTATTAGTCTTATTTCATTGCAAAATGTTGGGAGCTCTTTGCAAACTGGGACCATGTCTTCACATTTACTCACTCACCCACCTACATACCTACCCATTAATTTGGTAGTTCACTTGTTCATTAAACATTTACTGTGTATTAGAAAATGTAGACTATACAGAGAGCAGCAAACAATATCCACCTTTCAGGAAAGTACACTCTAGCAGAAGTCAAAAGCCATGTAACAAATTACTATATAGAACATGCTATTAAAATAGTCTGATCAAATTGAATAGTGGTTCAGAAGAGGGTGTCATTATCCTGGGATTGGGTGCTAAAAATGGTTACATGGACTAAGTCGCTTTTGAGTAAGACCTTAGGGAATGGAAATAATTTCCACAAGCTAAAGGAAAAAGTATAAGGAAAGGCACTTCAACTGGAGGGCAAAGCATTGTAAAAGCATGAAGTCAGAAAAGTACAAGGTATGTCTATATAGAGAAAAATAGTCCTGTTTGGCAGGAATATGGAGTTGGGGAGTAAGGATAGTGGTCAATAACAGAAAGAGGTAAGACTGGAAGGGTATCATCCCAGATTACTCTCTTCACTCTCTAGTGGATGCCTTGTTTGCAATTCTCATTTCATAGCACCTTTTTCCAATGCCCCCCATACTTTGTAACACAAGATAGAGCCCAAGAAGGCATAAAATATAAGATTTGTTGTCTTAGATTGAATTATTCAATCTAGCTCATATTTTGGGTAGAGCTGACCATGGGATCAGTGCTTTCACAGATGGGACATGATTATGTTTAGGTTAGGTTTTTACTTGTAACCTCTCAATTGTAGCTCAGGGGAAAAAACACTCTCCATACCATGCATCCGATTGGAGTCTTGGAAGCCTTTGACATCCTCTGAGAGCAGTCGGGAATCCAACATAGCAGTTGCTTGATTGGCATTGCTGTACCAGCTCTTGTTCTCATCCAACACAGTGAAAAGGAGAAAAAATTCCTTATCCACCCCTTTCTGTAGGTCCATGGTAGAGAATATAGGAAAAAAATGACAATGGTTTCAGCAGTTGTGAGTTGTGCAGCTCTAGACCTAAGAAGCCCCGATTTTTCCTATTTATTTTTTGAGATACAGAGTGATGCCCATTCCTCCTGCTTAGGGTTGTACTTGTTGCTACACAGTTTTTCCTTTGGAAATTTCAATTTTCTAAATGTTTATTTATTTTTGAAAGAGAAAGAGACAGAGTGAAAGAGGGGAAGGGGCAGAGAGAGATGGAGACACAGAATCTGAAACAGGGTCCAGGCTCCAAGTTGTCATCACAGAGCCAGACGCAGGGCTAAAACCCACAAACGGTGAGATCATGACATGAGTTGAAGTTGGATGCTCAACCAACTGAGCCACCCAGGCGCCCCTCCTCTGGTAATTTCAAACTGAAGGTGGGTGTAAGAGGTCAAAATAAAATAAAGTGACGAGACTGGAGGGGACACATGAAAGTGGACACGAAGAAGCACAAGATGGGGATTATGGAGAAATAAAGAGTGATAGAAGAGAGCATAGAGTCACCTGGGGAAAGGTGGCTTGGAGATCAAGAGAAGACTCTGAAGAAAATAAGAGAAAAAGGTATATAATTATTATTAATGTACTATTATCATTATTATGATGATGATGATCATTATCATCATCATCACTATTATTATTACTTCTAACATTTACTGAGTGCTAATTAAATATCAGATACTGTGATAAAGAAACTTCACATGGATTATTTTAATTAATCCTTGCAAAAACCCAAGATACCAACTTTTATTGTTAACCTTTACTACAGATATAGAAGCTGAGGCAATGGGAGGTTAAGTACCTTGCCCAAGGTTATACAGCTAGAAATGGTGAGATGGAAATGAAAGAACACAAAAAAATATTAAAATACATTTAGGAATTAGGATCACACTGGATAGTGACATGCAGAAGTATGAAATAGCACACTTTCTTACATCATACACAACAATAAATTGAAAATGTTTACAAGACCTGAATGTGAGACAGGAAACCATCAAAATCCTACAGGAGAACACAGACAGCAACCTTTTTAACCTCAGCCACAACTTCTTACTAGACATGTCTCGAAAGGCAAGAGAAATAAAAAATGGACTATTGGAGGA